GCTTATTAACACTCACTCCTTAAATTGCACTTCCTTATAACACAAGTTTAAAAATAGCAACCTAATGGTTGAATATTCAAGGAGAGCAATGAATGCTAATTTTAGAAGCCACCAGGTTACTATTTTTAAACTTGTGCATCCATGTGGCAGAAATTTAAAAATAGTAACCTATGGTTTCTAAAATTAGCAATCATTGCTCTTCATAAATATTTGAAAAACCTACTGCCCTCCAGTCAGTTCCAACTCATTGGGACCTTTTTGGACAGAGGACAGAGTAGAACTGCCTCATAGGGTTTCCAAGGCTATAAATCTTTTTGGAAAGCAAACTGTAACAGCTTTCTCCCAGGAGCCACTGGTGGGCTTGAACCATCAACTTTTTGGTTAGCCTCTGACCACTTTAACAACTGCACCACCAGGGCTCGTCCATAAATATTTTGACCTCCAATAAACTTTTGGTCCACTTCCCTAGATGAATGGGGTCAAGCAAGCTTAGCTTTTACGCCATTTTTTAGGATTAGCTAGAAGGCTGGCGGTTCAAACCCACCAGCCACTCCTCAGAAGGAAGGTTGGGCAATCCTACTTCCGTAGTGATACTGCCTCGGAAACCCAAGGAGGGGTCGCTATGAGTCAGGGCTGACTCGACAGCACATAACAACAACATACTTACTTTTTGACCTTGGCAAGCAAGAGCCGGGAAAAGCCCAGAGTGCTCCTGGACTGGGAGAGGCTGTTCAGCCATCACCCTGGAGGCAGCCTCAAGATCAGGCTTGGGAGGAGCACAGAGGCCATTCTGAGAATTCTGCAGCCTCTGAGCTCCCAAGAGGGCTATCATCCTGGTTTCCCTGGGACTGAAATGCTGGTGCCCCAGGAAACCCTTCAGGCCCTGGCAAACCTAAATGGTCAGTCACCCTGGCTACCTAAAGTGCTGCAAAAGCATCAAGGCTACCATTCTGAGGTGTCTTTGGGAAAGGATATTTAACTCCCCAGAATGTTCATTACCCCACCCCTAAGCCCTCATGCTCCACTACCCACCCATTTGTCAACGTGTCCTACTGTGGTGGCTTATATGCTGATATGATGCAGGAAGCTATGCTGCCAGTATTTCAAATACCAGCATGGACATCCATGGTGGACAGGTTTCAGCAGAGCTTCCAGACTAAAACAGACTAGGAAGAATAGCCTAGCAATCTACTTCCAAAAATCAGCCAATGAAAATCCTATGGGTTACAAGAGAATATTGTCCTATATAGTGTTGGAAGATGAGCCCCTATGCTGGAAGGCTCTCAAAATCCACAGTGGGCACAACAGTGTACCCAGCCCATCAATGCTTATGAAGCAGCACCTGGGCAACGTTGTAGGCAGGGTCACGATGAGTCAGAGCCAACTCGACAGCAACTAAAAACAAGCCCTCACACTAACTTCAGTTCTGTTTGGTGGTGGAAGGTACTGTTTAAAGGAGGAAAGAAACCAAGGAAGATACTAGGCAGGACAGGCATAGAGCGTTCATCCCTTGAACTCAATTTCCCTATCTGTAAAATGGGATGGTAGTAGTAGCTGCTGCATTGGATTGCTGAGGGAATAAATTGGGTCATACAGTGTTTGGGCTTGGAAGGAAGGTTGGGCAATCCTACTTCCGTAGTGATACTGCCTCGGAAACCCAAGGAGGGGTCGCTATGAGTTGGGGCCGACTCGACGGCACATAACAACAACAACAACAGTGTTTGGGAGCTCTGGTGGTGTAGTGCCTAAGGGATTTGACTGCTAACCACAAGGCTGGCAGTTCAAACCCACCAGCCACTCCTCAGAAGGAAGATTGGGCAATCTACTTCCGTAGAGATACTGTTTCAGAAACCCAAGGAGGGGTTGCTATGAGTCAGGATCAACTCAACAGCAATGAGTTTATGTCAGTGTTCAGCACAGTGCCTGGCATACCTTCAGCCCAATAAATTGAGTTGTCAGTGTTGGCTCTGCTCAGGCCCATTGTGTGTTAAGTCCCAGCCACATATCACACAGGCCACTTTTGGTCTTGGTACTTGCTGCAGTCTCCCACACCCTCCATGGCAGTGACCACGGGAAGCTGGCCTCGCCCTTTCTCTGGGAGGCAGGGATGATGATGTTTCACCCAGCATTAAGCCCAGTGCCTGGACAGGGGTAATTGCTGAGTGCAGGGAGGAACACCAGTTTCATGTCAGGGTGTCACATCACAATCAAACATATAGTGTATGTAAAGAAAATAAGTAATCACTTAAAACATCAGCTACTACTCCTACTTGGACTCTCCTCCAGATGGCTGTGTGTTGCATGCAACTAGAACAGTCGTATTTGGACAGAACTAATGATAATCTCCTACAATGCTAAGAACTTTAAGCCCAGTATGTTGTTCAAAATCCAGCAGGATGATAGACAAGGCCATGGTGGAATCGTCAGTTACTGGTTACAAACCAAATCCTTCCCTGTGATTTACATCTAATCAGGGATTTCTTAATAACATGCTGGGATTAAAGACAAGAAGGCCTGAGGGACCCCAAAGGCAGTTCTTGGTGAGCATCTGTGTTGCCTTGGAGACTGGCTGCTCGCCACAGCCTCTGAGGGCTCTTTTGCTCCAGCACCTGTCATGTGCTGAAAGGCAGTACTCCTCTGCTGTGTGGAAGAAGGAAGAAGAGAGTTTCGCCTGCTAAATTTTTCGCTGATTTGGGACTCTGGAGAGATGTTTTATCAGTAGAGATGATTCCTTTCTCTCCCTTCAGGACTAAAAGTCACCTTCAGGGCATCAGGTCCAACTCCCTCGTTGTGAAGAGAAGGATGCTGAGCCCCAGAGAGGTTCCATGTCACCCTTAATGGGGGGTAGCACCAGGACGAGGACCAAACCAAAAACTAAACCAGTTGCCTTCCAGTTGATTCCAACTCATGATGACCCTGCATGTGCAGAGTAGAATTGTGCTGCACAGGGTTTTCAATGACTGTAACCTCTCAGAAGCAGATCTCCAAGGCTTTCTCCTGAGGCACCTTGGGGTAGATTTGAACGACCAACCTTTTGGTTAGTAAGTAGCCAAGCACTTAACCATTTGCACCACCAGGGAGTGAGACAAGGACTAGGAGTTTTGATTTCCTGTCCTTAGTTATTTACTTGGCCCCAGCAGGACAGAAGAGCTAGGATGTCTGCTCTGGCAGTCCTCAGGTTACGAACATCAGACTTACATATAACCCATAGTTGTGAACCAACACTCGAAAAGCCTACTATATAAATATTTGAGTTACATACATTGGTTGGTATTAACAAACAGGGGCTACTTATGATGCACATCAAAACATTATTATTACTGTATTGTTATCTTAAAGATGTTTTAGTGTATCTGGAAATGTTTCTTTAAAATTTTTAGTGCATAGAAAGGTACACTATACACTGTATACTAAGACAAACATTTGACTTCTGACTTTAGATATGTACAGTGCCTAATTGTTCCAACTTGTATACAAATTCGACTTAAAAACAGATTTAGGAACAGAACTCATTCATAATCTGGAACTGCCTGTTTTTATTTTCTTCCTCTCTCCTTTCCTTCAATTGCCCCTGTTATGCTCCATCTCTCCCTTCTTCCCTCCCTTCCTTCCAGTATGTCCTGAGTATCCCCCATGTGCCTGGCACTGCATAGGTGCTGGATCTTTGCCTCTAAGAAGTGTTCTGGATTTTGCTGTAGTTATACTTAAAAAACAAAACAATTCTGAGATGGTTCAGCATCTCTGTATTCCTGAAAGCCAGTAATCAGCCGTTGCTTTGTAACAAAACTCACCCCTCTGGATGTCTTCACTATTTGCAGTCTCACAGATCAGCAGACTAGGGAAAATGGAGGCTCAGAAGGAATGAGGGGAGCCGCCGTGCCCAGAGCTGAGGAAGCTGGTTTGTGGTCCTAGCCACAGCACTTAAAGAGCTAGTGACCTTGGTAATTCTTGCCCCCTGACATCAGTAGACAATCTCTAAGGTCACATGTAGCTCTGGAACTCTGAAAGCCAGTATCTGAACTGCCTGAGGGTACTAATCCCCTCCCTACCAGGTTCAGTGGTAGAATTCTCATCTTCCATGCAGGAGACATGGGTTTGATTCCCAGACAATGAACTTTATGTGTAGCCACCACCCATTTGTCAGTGAAGGCTTGTGTGTTGCTATGACGTTGAACAGATTTCAGCAGAGCTTCCAGACTAACACAGACTAGGAAGAACGGCCTGGCAATCTACTTCTGAAAATCAGTCACTGAAAACTCTATGGATCACAATGGTCTTATCTTCAGCGGGTCAGGGGATGGTACAGGTCCAGGCCGCATTTCATTTCCTTGTGCATGAGGTCACCAGGAGTTGGAGGCCACTTGACAGCAGCTAACAACATGAACATGCAGGGAAACTGCCTCCTTTCAGAAAACAAGAAAATGTTTCATCCTAACGGAGGGACAAAGGTTGCTTTCTAAGTTGTAACCAGCACACATCTTACCACTTGTCTGTCCTTGTGGGGTGTGAATAATATTTATTGATTTAACAACCAAGTGCTTATGGACCAAACAAAACAAAATGAGATCAATGAAGTAGATGTATTTGAGATTAGACAGAGAGTAGAACTTCTCACATGTGGCTGTTAAGTGCTACGAGCAGTCAGATGTGGGAGCTGTGGAGGGCGGGTCCCTGAGGTCCTGGACAAAAGCAGACAGGTAGAATTTCTGCTGTCATTCCTCTTGTTCTGGCTTCCAGGGGAAAGATCTTAGCAGTAAGAGGGACCATTTTATTCCCTCATCCAATGAATTCTCAGAAACTGTTAAAAAAAAAAAAAAGTTAATTGTCATACTAACTGCCTATGGAAAACTCAGTTTCAGTGGGAGAAATAAATGCATCAAGATAATATTTAACCCATTTCCTTTTTTTCCCTGCTCCTGCCTCTCATGGCTTTGTTAGGACTCCTGCCGGCACCTGAGCAAGAACAGCTACCGTGTCCTGGAGACAGTCCAGCAGGGACAATGGCCAGCACGGCAGTCCAGCTCCTGGGCTTCCTGCTCAGCTTCCTGGGCCTGGTGGGCACTCTGATCACCACCATTCTACCACATTGGCGCAGGACGGCACACGTGGGCACCAACATTCTGACAGCCGTGTCCTACCTGAAGGGGCTGTGGATGGAATGCGTGTGGCACAGCACCGGCATCTACCAGTGCCAGATCTACCGGTCCCTGTTGGCACTGCCCCGTGACCTGCAGGCTGCCCGGGCCCTCATGGTCATCTCCTGCCTCCTCTCAGGCATGGCCTGCGCTTGTGCCGTCATCGGCATGAAGTGCACACAGTGTGCTAAAGGCACGCCTGCCAAGATCACCTTTGCTATCCTCGGGGGTGCGCTCTTCATCCTGGCTGGCCTCCTATGCATGATAGCTGTCTCCTGGACCACCAACGATGTGGTGGAGAACTTCTACAACCCGCTGCTCCCCAGCACCATGAAGTTCGAGATCGGGCAGGCCCTGTACCTTGGCTTCATCTCGTCCTCTCTCTCAATCATCGGTGGCATACTACTCTGTCTGTCCTGCCAGGATGAGGCGCCCTACAGGCCCTACCATGCACAGCCCAGGGCCGCCACAGCCACAGCAGCCCCCGCACCCACATACCGGCCACCGGCTGCCTACAAGGACAACCGGGCCCCCTCTGTGACCTCTGCCACACACAGCGGATACAGGCTGAACGATTATGTGTGAGTCTCCAAGGGATACTGGGAGGCACCAGGACCCAGAACTGTTAATCAATGTTAATTAAGTGTTCTAGCACAAAGTTTACTTCTGGAAAGGAAATAATGTGAACATGATGAAGTATGCTTAGAAAACAGGGATGGAGGGTAGAATGAGGAGAAAGCTTGATATACCAAAGACAAAAAAAAAAGAAAAAAAACTTTTCAGTTTTGTATTTATTATATGTTTTTGTTTGTTGTATTTATGCAGGTGATTTAATAATGCTCAATAAAGAGCAACTTGGGGGTTTGGTCAGTGGTGTTTGTTTGCAATGCAGGAATAAACCTTTTGGACATGGCTGTTTATATAATGGGTAATATTATTTCCATTTCCAGGCTATTATTCTGTCCACAAAGGTGCTGACAATCACAGTGAAAGCCCTGTGTGGGCTCTGGGGTGGTGAGCAGTGCAGAACGCACTGAGTCCTGAGGCTCTGGGAGTGGCCACCCGAGTGCATTTTGGGAAAATCCAGAGCAAGGCAGAGCTGAAATGCTTGAGCATCACTCACAAAAAGCAGTCTTGGAATCTTGGCTTAAACTCAGAAGAATGAGGACAAGGGCTTCCTTGAAACAAACAAACAAAAAACAGTTGTCATAAATCATAAAATAAGGACAATGTCATTTTCTACCAGAGAGCAATTAGCCCCATTAGTAAAGAAATAATAGTAAGAAGGAAAAAAGATGGAGTAAAGCATGCCTGGCCACTTGGCTTTCTAGGCATTGGCAAGAAGCTCAATTAGGAGAGCTATTCACTCCACACACACATCCCAGCACCCCAGCAGCAACCTACTTGCTTCTCTTCTGTGGTGGCCAGCCTCAGCCTCCATCTGAGCTGGTACTAAAAATAACCAGTTGTAACTGAGTTGACTCTGATTCATGGTGACTCTATGTGTGTCCAAGTGGAACTGTGCTCAGTAGGATTTTTAGTGGCTGATTTTTTGGAAGTAGATTGTTAAATCTTTTTTCTAAAATGCCTCTGAGTGGGCTTGAACCTCCAACCATTCAGTTAGCAGCTGAGCCATTAACAGTTTGTATCCCTCAGGGACTCTCAAGCCAGTACTAGCATCTGTTCATTCTTCCTTAGCAAATGTTGTAAAGAACTGCTGGGGAGGCTAGATGAGAATCAGCTGCCTTAAGAACCTTGATGATGCCTTCTGGCTGTGGCTTAAATCACAAGATCCAAGAGCTTTAAATGGTGATCCCACCTCCCATTTGTTCAAGGAGCTTGGCCTGAGCCTACTTTCCTGTCTAGGCTCACGTCCACCATCAGCCTTTCACCATCTCCAGTGACCCCTGCTCAGACCTCTGTCTGATGCCTAAAGCTCAGAGCATGTGGGGAAATATGCCACCCTGTGGAAGGACACACAACACAACTATCATGGGATATCCCTCCATCCTCAAGGGGTCCTGCAACAGGGCAACCAGAGCACTCAGGCAAGTTGTCTCCAGCTGTCATTGTGTGCAAGAATGAGAACAATCAGTGGGTCAGCAGCAGATATGGGGCCAGCTGGCCAGGCTTGCTGGCCTGACCTGGTGAGGTGACCTGGCCCAGCATCAGAGGTGAAGGGGAGGCACCAGGGAAAAGGTCAGGAGGCATAAGAACAGTGTTGGAAGAGAAGGCGAGGGGGGCCTCAGCCTGGCGCCCCTGGGCTCAGCAAGGCCCAAGGGAGGTTCATGCTCCCACAGACCAGGCCATAAAGATACTGGCAGAAAACCCAGTCCCCGTATGCTGCTCCTACATGCCAAGGCTCTCACCAATAACATGTATACACTGAGCCTTCCTTAGGCCTCCCCAGTTGCTCCTAATAAACTATGTTGTTGTTGTTGTTAGCTGCTGTCAAGTCAGCCCCTGACTCATGGCAACCCCATGCATAATAGAATAGAATGCTGCCCAGACCAGCATCATACTCATGAACAGTTGCATGTCTGACCATTGTGACCCATAAGGTTTTCATTGGCTGATTTTCAGAAGTAGATTACCAGGCCTTTCTTTCTAGTCTGCCTTAGTCTAGATGCTCCGCAGAAACCTGTTCAGCCTTATAGCAACACGCAAGCCTCCACTATCAGATGAATGATGGCTGTGCATGAGGTACATTGGCTGAGAACTGAACCCAGGTCTTCCATATGGAAAATAAGAATCCTACCACTAAAGCAAAAGTACCTCATGCTGATTCCTTACCAAACCCAAAAACCAAACCCACTGCCATTGAGTTGATTCCGACTCATAGCAACCCACATAGGTTTTCCAAGGTTGTAAATCTTTAAAGCCTGACTCATCTTTCTCCTGTGGAGCAACTGGTAGGTTCGAACTATTGACCAATTGCCTTACCAAGGAACCATCAGAGCTCCATTCATACCGATTCCTTAGTCCTCACCAATTACTCCTAATAAATTACACCATCTATGAAATCTCAATGCCCTTCTGTCAACAGTGAAAGTGGAGGGATTAAGGAACAGTCCTACATATATGTACATATTTCCTCTTTGGAATGTTGTGATTACCTACAGACCCTAGACAATAGGTGACACTTCAGTTTAGAAAGAGTATACACACATCTCAGACTTCATCTGACCCCAGAGAAGCTAACAGGATTGAGATCTGCCATCCCCTTTAGGTTAGGGATTTAGATAACAAAGGTCATTTATTTTTGGTGAACCGAGCAATTTTGATCTACTCTTACGTTATAAAAACCATGAATAAGTATGACTCAATAAAGGAAAGAAGTAAAATCTTCTAACAATCAAATGATATTCTGTTGGTCTTCGACATGATGGTCACTGTTCAGAATATGTTTAGTGAAGTTATACTAGTTAATAAACCTATTACAGAACAAAGAACAAATAAAGTATCTTTCTTCAGACACTTTCTCCAAAGTTACTACTAAAATAAAATACATCAATTCGACTCAAGAGAGTAGAAAACAGGTCCTCAAGCAAATACCTGTAGATGTATGTTTCAACCAAACCAAACCCACTGCCATTGAGACAATTCTGACTCACAGTGACCACCATAAGATTTCTAAGTCTGTAAATCTTTACAGACATAGATTGCCTCATCTTCCTCCCACAGAGCAGCTGGTGGGTTTGAACCACCAACCTTCTGGTTAGCAGCCAAATGCCTTACCTACTCTGCCACCAATAGCCAAAAGGTGGAATCACTCAAGTGTCCATCACCAGATGAATAAATAAACAAAAAGTGGGATATACATACAACAGAATATTACTCAACCATAAAAAAGAATGAAGTACTGATACATGCTACAACAAGGATAAACCTCAGAAACATTATGCTAAATGAAAGAAGCCAGACACAAAGATCACATATTGTACAAGTCCATATATATAAAATATTCAGAATAGGTAAATTCATAGAAACAGAGATTGGTGGTTGCCAGGGGGAGAGAGGGGAGAGAGATACGGAGTGAATACTTAATGGACATGAGGTCTCCTTTTGGGTGATGGGAATGTTTTGAATAAAAGTGATGGTTGCACAGCACTCTGAATGCACTAAATGTCGATGAACTGTATAAAATGTTTAATTTCATGTTATGTGAATTTCACCTAAATTTTTTAAATGAAAATAAAAATATATACTTCTCTAGCTGTCAGTGAAAGACTAATAATAATAACATTGTTATTGTTGTTATTAGGTGCTGTCAAGTCAATTCTGATTCATAGCAATTCTATGTCCAACAGAACAAAACACCGCCTAGTCCCGCACCAGCCTCACAATCTTCGCTATGCTTGAGCCCATCTTCACAGCCACTGTGCCAACCCATCTTGTTGAGTGTCCCCCCCTTTTTCATGACTCTCTTATATGATACCCTTCTCCAAGGTATCATGGTCCCTGTTGATAACATGACCAAAATACAAGAGACGAAGTCTGGCCATTCTCACTTCTAAGGAGCATTCTGGCTGTACTTCATCTAAGGCAGATTTGTTCATTCTTCTGGCAGTACATGGTATATCCACTATTCTTTACTAACACCACAATTCAAATGTATCAGTTCTTCTGAGGTCTTCGTTATTCACTGTCCAGCTTTCACATGCATATGAGGCTCTTGAAAATATCATGAGTTGGATCTGACTTACACAATCTTCAAAGTGACATCTTTGCTCTTTAAAGAGGACTTTTGCAGCAGATTTGTCCAATGTAATACATCATTTGATTTCTTGACTGCTGCTTCCATGAGCATTGACTGTGGATCCAATTAAAATGAAATCCTTGACAACTTCAATCTTTTCTTCATTTATTATAATGTTGCTTATTGGTCTACTTGTGAGTATTTTTGTTTTCTTTGTTTTGTTTTGAGTATTTCTGTTTATATTTAGGTGTAATCCACACTGAAGACTGCAGTCTTTGATCTTTATCAATAAGTGCTTCAAGACTTCTTCCCTTTTAGCAAGGAAGGTTATATCATTTGCCTCTCACAGGTTGTTAATGAGTCTTCCTCCAATTCTGATGCTGCATTCTTTTTCATATAGTCAAGATTCTCAGATTATTAGCTTAGCATACAGATTGAATTAGTAAAGTGAAACGATGCAACCCCGACACACACCTTTCCTGATTTTAAACCATGCAATATTCCCCTGTTCTGTTCAAACCGCTACCTCTTGGTCTATGAACTGATTCTTCATGAGCACAATTAAGTGTTCTGGAATTCCCATTCTTCACAATGTTATCCATAATTTGTTATGATCCACACAGTCAGATGCCTTTGTCTAGTTGATAAAACAAAGGTAAACATCTTTCTGGTATTCTTTGAGTTCAACTATCTGACATCAGCAATAACATCCCTCATTCCACATCCTTTTCTGAAATAGGCTTGAATTTCTGGCAGTTCCCTGTCCGTGTACTGCTGAAACTGTTTTTTAATTATTTCTAGCAAAATTTTACTTGCATGTGATATTAATGATATTAATATTGTTAAGGCAAAATATTGTTCAATAATTTCCACACTCTGTGGGATC